GGGTGGGGCGGGGTTGGGGGGATTCCATTGAAGGGAGGGGGGGGGGGGGCGAGGGCCATATTTACACATATATCCCCGACTTCACGCTGCTAAAGTTGCCGGGCTTATCCACTGAAAACGCTTACTTTAATTACTGAATGCTCAGCAGGGATTCAGCATGCAGATCCACCTAAGTCGTAGCTTCCTATATCACTTATTAAACACGAATATCATCTTGTGTAATCCCTATACAGCCGATCACATACTCAAGCCGATCACATACTCAAGTAATCCCACCTCACGCCTGTATAGCAGATCAAAATCCCTCACACGTCCCAAATAGGCCCTGTAAACCCTGCAACCCGCGATATAACTCATCTAATTAATGCCAATAGAAATTATCAAATCCCAAAATGAACCTATACAAACCCAAAACCCTACACCCTCTATAACCTCAACACGAGGGAACCTCGGGATAGCCATACTTCACGTTCCTCAGTCGCCGCGTCACATCAAAAAGCCATTCAAGTGCCAACAGGAAACTGGGGTTCTAAGTCTTCAAATCATGCCTACTTTGGACCCTAAAATCGATAAATGGGCTTTATTTAGTATAGAAGTCATGCGTATTTTGAGCCCTAAAGTACAGTCTATACAAGGGATTCCAAAGTATAGAGTTCATGCCAACTTTGGGCCCTAAAGTTGATAAGCCCTAGGGCCTATGAATGATAGCTACTCTGGGGTCCCTTTCAATGGCATGGGGTTCTACTCATGGAAATGTTGCCCACGTTGTGCCCTCAAGTCAATGACATGATAATTATTTTGGGCTATCTGGGCCTCTTAACCCTAAACCCTAANNACCTTAAACCCTAAACCGCTAGACCTTAAACCCTGAACCCTAAACCTTACATACCCTGAACCCCTAAACCCTAAACCACGGAACCACGGAACTCATGGCAAGGTAATGGATGGGGTTCAGCCAGGGGATCATAAGGAGATGGCGCTTACCCAAATTCCGAACCAACATGAAAAGGGGGACTTCCCAAAATTAAGGGTCCCTTTAGTGGGGTTGCTATAATATGGATTTGAGTATTTTGGGCTCCCCCCATTCATGGGAACTTTTACATGAAACTACAGAATGTCACACAAGCTCTGTTTATGCACTCTCTTTAGGCCAAGTGTTTACCTAAACCCTACACCTTAAAAGCTGAAACCTAAACGGGTGAGGCCGGCGCAACAAACCATGCATGGCGTCAGGCATGTGCAGGCCTAGTCTAGTGAGGAATCTTGGGTAAATCTTCCACAAGTCCTATTGCAAACAATCTTTCCTGAGTGCGAGTTCTTGTGGGAAAGGGATGAACCCCAAACTCCATGAACCGCCGTATAAGCCCAATTTCTGTTACAATTCCCGTGTTCTTTCCGTTGAAATTCTTCATAACATACGAAAGCTCTGAAACCCTATGTCATCCCTATATATATAATCTTATATGCATAGTCCCTATATTACCCAGGTACTCCCTACATGACTCTTATGTTGCCCAGGTTCTCTTCCAGGGACACGTCGAAGAGAACTGGCTCCTGGCCCACCATGCCGACCTGTGGTGCCGACGAAGAGGATGGAAAACAGTTCGGTTTAGGGTTTAGGGTGTGGGGCTTAGGGTTTAGGGTTAAAGGTTTAGGGGTTCAGGGATTAGAATTCAGGGTTTCGGGTTCCGGTGTTAAGGTAACTGTGGAACCGAATGCAGCTCGCATGGTTGATGGATAGGATCCTGCAGCCTGCATGACTCTATGAATGACAAACCCCCAGGAATTCCGGACTATAGTATACCTAATGTCAATCCCTAAACCCTGTGATTACCCTAAACCCTTTTGCAACATGCGTCCGATCCGCCTGGTGGCGAACGCTGCCGGTGGCCCTAGGGTGGATTATTCTCCTCTCCAACCACCTCGAACTAACGTAGGGTTTAGCATTTAGGGTTTAAGGTCCCCCAGACAAGTGCCACAACGACCGCTGTCCTCCGAAAAAGGGCTCTTTGCGGTTCGGCTCCCTATGGCTCTTGATAGACCATGGCCACCTGACCTTTGGGGGGGATTATGGAAACTGGGGGTCCCTACAATGAGGATTGGAGTATTCCGGGGTATATAATACATGACAGAACACCTGTTTCGGGAAACGCCCGTATGATCTCTGGTAAGCTAAATCTTTGTTAGTGTTGTCCTAAACCCTAGACTCTAAACCCTAGACCCCACACCCTAAACCCCATGATTGTTCCACAAGTAGGTTTGCTAAGTGCGGCTCCCTTCTCCCCCCTGTAGTGCTCCCCTCGATAATCTCCTATAAAAGCCCTTTTAGACTATAGCTCACATACCCTAACCCCTGAAGCTTAAACCTTGAAGCCTAAGCTCTTTTTGCGCGAGCGCACATTTTTGGGGTGGGAGGGGGGACTCTACAGCATGTGCGTGTGTGTACCCTACCAGTAATCCCTACAGTATCGAAATACAGGGGCTTAATGAAACTCTGATACAGGCCGAATAAGGACTCTTAGGCATGTGTTGTAGCTATACAATGACACTTACGGACCCAATTCGTTGTTTCTTCAAGCTTATGAAATGTTGAAGCAATGGCGGCACGGGAGGGTTTTGGCGGTTGAGCCAAGTATGACAACATCCTGTGCTGCAGTTCAGTGCGCCAAAGAAGGGTATAATCTTACTCTAGATGGGGAACTATAGTGCCCCCAGCTGAATTCAAGTCCTACCTCCGAAAAACACAAACCCCCTAAACCCCAAACCCTCATCAAACTATAAATATAAGTATACTTCTACATTTATATCCCTATAACCCCCACAAATGTCCAGAGGATGACCACAGCAGCCCCTTTAAACACACCGCGCGCGCCTAAACCCTAAACCCTTTTCAGGTACCTGGAGCCCTGGGGTACTATTAAGGAACTTAAATTAAGATACCATAATGGGTATATATAGTAAATAATAAGGTTTCCCCAATATAGTAACTTAATTTAAGTTCCTTAAATCCCTAGAATCCCCAGTTTCCATTTCATTTTCCATTTTCTTTTCCATTTGATTCTCCATTATCGGGGATAATATCCCTAAACCCTAAACCCTAAACCCTAAACCCTACTGGGTGGAGGCCTGCTTCCTCCACCATGCCACGTTCAATGCCCGCAGGTCCATGCCGCCAACTTGGACGGAGCCCCCCTTGGTGTTCAGATTTTAGGGTTTAGGATTTTGGGTTTAGGGGATCTTAGGGTTTAGGCTTAGAGTTTAGGATTTTGGGTTTGGGCCAAGGCTTTAGACAGGTTAGGGCTGTTGGGGCTTCGTTAAGGCTTTTGGGGCTTCGGGGCTAGGGCGAAGGGTTCATAAGACTTCGGGTTTAGGATTTAGGCTTAGGGCTTAGTGTTTCATGAGCGCACAGGGTATTACGACAGTAAAACCAGGGGCCCCTGGTGTGATCCTGTTTCTGAGAACCCCAACCCCTGTACGCCTATCATATATCCCAATATATGCCCTTAAGGGCCCTGAAAAGGCTGAGGACCCATGATTACCCTAAACCCTAAACCGAATAGTTGGGGCCCCTACATCTGCCCTTAGAATTTATTGCGTCCATAGCCCTAAACCCTACACCGGTTCTAGGGATTGAGGTTCATTTCTGACTGGGCGTTGGGGAGGGTTGAAAGGTTTATAGTCCCCTTACGTAAGTAGAAGATGGGGTATATGGGGATCTTATTATGATATTGGTCAATTCCATATTCTATCTACTTAAGGGGGACTATAATCCAGGTTGATGTCTCTCATCGCTGGTCCAGCCTCAGGGTGTGGGGACAAGTTCAAGGTGAGTAGCGACCAAGCTTCCATTTAGCTAAGATTCACAGTTGAACTGTTTCGAAAGCACTGGCTTAGCCAATATCCAAGTACTGGGTAGCAGAGAAATGAAATCTTTCAGGGTTCGGCAGCTGATCCGTTCTCCATATTCATACGCCCCCGTTTGCAACACGAAGATGTGTCGGCGGCAGGACTGAATTTCTGGCAACTTCCGCCCAACTGAAGTGTAAGCTAGCAAGAGAGGTGTTTTTCATGGGTGCAGGGGCAAGGTACTTTTTGCTATCCAGGACATGTTTTACGTGTACTTCCAAAAGATCTTGAACTTTGAACTCTTTGTGTTTCTGCAGGAAGTCTTTCACTCTAACAGTAAATTTCTTCATCCCTTCAAGTAGACAGCTCCTTTTCATGCTGGGGGTCATTATGGGGGGGTTCCGTTTTTAGATCCTGAGGGGGATCTGGGATACTCCTCCCAACTACCAAGGAACCCTGCATGAGCCATGTATGGTCTGATTTCGAAGTTTCTAAACCCCAAACACTAAACCCCATGTCCATTTGGGGGAGCGTCAGGTTTTAGGGTTGAAGATTTAGGACTCAGGGCTTAGGATTCTGGGAGGGTGCAGGGGCACCAGGGGTCTTGACAACAACCTGCACCTTCAGCAAAGAAAGCCAAACTGAGACCCAAAAATCCGGGACGCCCCCCAGCCTTGAATCCTAGACCAACAGCTTGCAACCCAGTCTAAACCCTAAACTGCGTCCTAAACCATCAAACACTGAATCCTGAACTCCTGAACACCCCAAGGCCTGCGGGTCGTAGAATCGCTGCAGAAGCTGGATCACAGTGGACTTTCCACTTCCTGAGAAGCCCACAAAAGCCACCTCGGCGGGAGGGAAATCCAGACCCCTACATGGACTTCCCTGGAGTCCAAAAGTAGGTAAACGATGGCCCGAAACCTCCAAACCAGTCAAAGAGACCACTCTTCTGCATACTTTTGCAGTCCAGGTACACACATTATAACAGATGATATGATGACAGCCCAGAATTCTAGGGCTGGGCTTGGTAAGTCCCAGGCCAGGCGAGAATTGGGGCAGATTCCTCGGGGACTCCAAACAGGACGGATCCCAAAAAATGAATACTTCAAAGGGGATAAAGGTGAAATCCAATTGTTTATGGTGTGTCCTATTTGGGGGGACCTTGCAATCTACCTGATTGAAGGTTCAGGGTAGGATGGGACTGAGATCCCATCTGCGTGCAAGGATAGGTTGATGCTGTGGGCCGTCCATAGCTATCCTGAGAATTGTTCCGGCATTTGAAACTTTGATGCGGCTACATTTGATTTTGCATCCCTTCATGATCCCTTCAAGTCAGTACTTCCGCAGACACCATGTAATATGATACCTCTTTCCTGAGAAGATCCCAGCAAACCGAAAACTCTAAACCCTATGAGTACAAAGGAAAAGGGTTTAGGCAAGTCGCTGCCTGACCCTTCTCAATGGTGAAGTTGAGCTTCTTGAGCACACGCACCTTTAAGGGCGCAGGCAATGACAGCCTCATCCCTGCTCGTGATATTGGATTGGACATAGCCTACTTGCAAGATGTAGGGCTGTCGTTGTGATGTTTGGTGTGTGTGTGTGTGAAACCTTTG